TACAGTATTTATAACTTGGGTGAAGTTTTTTCTCACAGTTTGGCCATGGTTTCATTTTGATAGTGTTGTCATGTCTGGACCATGTTTATCAGCATGATCCCATCTGTGACCGTGATCATGCCTGTTAGCATGATCTGTTAGCATCATCATGTCTATTACCATGATCATGTCTGTTAGCATGACTGTGAGCATTATCTGTTAGCATCATCATGTCTATTACCATGTTCATGTCTGTTAGCATGATCTGTTAGCATCATCATGTCTATTACCATGTTCATGTCTGTGAGCATGATCTGTTTAGCATCATCATGTCTATTACCATGATCATGTCTGTTTAGCAATGATCTGTGAGCATTATCTGTTAGCATCATCATGTCTCATTACCATGATCACGTCTGTTAGCATGATCTGTTAGCATCATCATGTCTATTACCATGATCATGTCTGTTAGCTGATGATCTCAGTGAGCATCTGTTAGCATCATCATGTCTCTATTACCATGTTCATGTCTGTTAGCATGATCTGTTAGCATCATCATGTCTATTACCATGATCAGCATCTGTTAGCAATCTGTTAGCATCATCATCTATTACCATGTTCATGTCTGTTAGCATGGTCATGCTCAACTTGTCATCAACTTATCATCACTTTTTTTCTTCTGTTGCTGTTCTTCTTGGCCTCCCCACCCCGGGCCCTGCCTCACGCTCTGTCTCTGTTTTGTCTCTGCAGCCGTCTACCAGAAGGCCAGACAGTGGCTGCTCGCTAACATCCCTTCAGTCCTGGTGTTCGGAGTCTGTATTGGTGTGTGCAGGTATTTATTTCCACTATTTATTATCGCGTAATTTGATGAGTTTTCGATATATTGATGTTGTCATTTGAAATCCTTGTATCTCTTTGGCCCGTAAAACCTCAAACTCAGCAGATTATAACAAAAAACACATTGTTATTAGGCTTTATACACGTTACACATCCAGAGTCCTAAGCAGCAGGACACACTCCACACTCAGTTATTCATGTATTCTGACATAATGATGATTGTACCTGAGTCTGTTAAACACAACACAGAGCTATCTATCAAATGTTCCCTGTTTCTTGTCCCACTCACTTCCACGGTTTCAGTTTAATTCATTCACTAAAAGAACATGAACAGTGTCCAGCTACCAAGCTCCAGATGATAAACCTCAGTTATCACCGTGTGCTCCCATCATCTAAGCTTTACGAGCAGTATCCAGTGATTGAGTTTGTCTTCAGACAGATGTAGCTCTTCAGTGGAGGCTGTTGGGGCAGACTGCATCTGCTGAGGAAGCCTGCAAACACCACTTTTAAAAAAAATGGTTTATCTGTTTTTGTTTATATTAATACTAGAACTGATAATCAGCCAGAGATAATGCAGTCACAAACAGGAATACATGTTCATTATTAACATGAGAAATGCTAGTTTATATAATGTTTTTTTTTTTTTTTTTTTGAGGAACCTCTGATTCATTTACCCCCACCCACCCCCCAACTTCTGAAACCCTCACTCTGTGTACAATAAACCTGCTTCATGTTGATGTTAGAGAAAGTGCTTTATATTTACTACAGTGTTTTGTGTTGTTAATGTTGCTGTTACTGACACAGGATCAAGGTTCAGAGTGATTGAAGCTGTTGATAGGTTTTGTGTCTGTGCTCCTTTTCCCTGCTCAGATCTGGCCCTGGTGTTCTCCATGCTGATGTTAACTGTCAGATTCTGTGTGCTGAGAAGCACCTGGACTGACTGCAGGCAGCTGATCACCGGCCTGTGGTGGGAAGCCTTTGCACTAACTCTTCAGGGATCTCGGTCTGGTTCAAGGGTCCCCCTCAGATCCCCGCACAAACCAGCAGTATCTGACTAAAAAGCAGTGGACACCAGTGGTCCGGACAAAGCCAGCAGTGACAGACTCTGCACTGAGGGGAAACAGTATTTTCTACAGATATGAAATAATAGAGTGAAATTTGTTACAAATGATGTTTATAATATCAAACAACAAGCAGTGCATTATGTTATTCAGCAGGACTGACTGTGCTCACTATTCATAATTCAGTTATCTGGACTTCATCAACCACCCAGGACTCAGAGACCAGAACAGAGGACCCTTCACTTCACCTGCTGGCTCACTTTGAGAGGGAAAGCTTTAGACCAGCAGGCCTTGTAAAAAGTTTTTAAGTAGCACTGAGTTCACTTTGTTCATGATGTCAGTCTGATATGTTTATTCCTGTGATTATAAGAGCACTTTCAACATATCTGTGTCAGAAACTACAGCTCTTATTTCAGTCTCTATTTACACCTGAGTTTATCAACTGTATCTGTTTCATTGAGCATATATATCATTTCTCATTACAGTATCAGTGCTGTATTATAGACCCTGGTTGAATCATATAGTCGTGTTCCCACTGTGTTTGTGTTGCTCTTCATTTTGGTCTCTGATGTCTTCCAGGCAGAGAGAGTCTCCAAATGATCCATAGAGATTTGTGTGTCAGTCTGTGGTGGTAACACATAAGACAGACTCCATACACTATAGTACAGGTGAACTCGTGTTTATTTGGGGGACTTAATGAGCATTAATTAGCCTCACAGCTACAAACAGACCACAACATGTGCTGGATGAAGGAGGGATGCAGGTCTTACCTGAACCCAGGTGAGCTCCATTAGCTCTACACAGAGTCGACTCACTCCACTGGGTGGTTGATACCAGTTCGTCTGAAAAGACCAAAACCGACAATGACTTTCTTCTACTTAACAAGGACTGTAGCCTGATACAGCTGGTTTCTGTGCCACTAACAAAAAAATGATAAATACAAAGAGCCACACTGCTGCACTGACTTCCTTCAGTTTATTCTGAACCAACTCAAACTATGCTCATTGTGTTTGTTTTGCTGATATGATCAGTGTTATGGCCTCCCTGACAAAATGAAAGGCTCAACTGGAGACCGGAACATTTAAAAGATGCCAAGACAGAGATGCCAAGAACAAAGAATTTATGTTATTTCAAACATAGCCAAAACATACTTCAAAAATACTAAAGAAATCAAAAAGCGTGGAGATCCCTGCCAAAAAGAACAAAAGAAAGGCAGGCCACTGAGCCAGCCACGCCACGGGCCGTCACACTCAGGTACTCCCCCCTCAAACTGCCTAATGCAAACTAAAACTAAAACAAAAAACGATACCTGGACTACCACTGATTTCCAACCCAGAAACTAAAACAACGAAACTCAACATTCTGAACCATGCTTGGAAGGAAGAACAACATGGGGGAGAGGAGTCCACCCCCGAGCAGAAACCCTCTCCGCTCCTCTGTCCCTCCTTTTATATCAGGATGCCGTGCGTAACAATCGGCTGATCGGTGGTCAGATGTTGCTGCAGCTGCACTGACACTTCTCTAGCTAAAAAATCTCTGAGGGTTTGATTTGCCTGAATCTGAATCTGTTTAAATAGATGCTCCAGATTTAGATCCAGCTGAGCTCGTTTGGTGTCTGTCATGAACACCACCACCAAATGAAGAGGTGTATGAAACAAAGGTCATTTCTGAAGATGCTTTTATATAAAAAAGGAGAAAAAACAAATGAACGGATCTTTAAAAAAAATCTTTTTTTAATCCCTTTTACAGAAATAATACAAAATATTTTCCAGACAAAAAGTGAAATCAAAAATCAAAATCTTTTCTTATATACTATGTAACATGTGTCTGACTCTTTGTGTAGCCTGTGTCTTTAAGATAAGGTGAATAAACCATTACAAACTAACAGTGCAGATGTCTCATGTAAAATACCCTCATAATAAATAACTTGTAAATACACAATAAAATTGCTCTGTACACACACTTGAGTCATGAGTCTGTTCTATATAAACTGGCTTCACAACGACCACGTTCAGGGAGGTGTGGAGTGGTTGTTTATGTTTTCAGGTTTATCGCTAGAAGACTGGATACAGAGGTCACCGCGGGTCAACAGTCTTTAAAATAGACCAGACATGAAAGCATCAGTTCATTAATGAATGGTTTTATGTTGTTTCTGTCCCTACTTCTCCCAGCTCCATTCATTCTTAGAGATGAGGATGAGATAAGAGATGTTCTTTCTCTTATGTCAAAGTGAAACTAAAGCAATAACAGTTGAGACAAAACAGTTGAACTAAAAGTAAAAAAGAACACAGTTCTCCTTTTATTCAGATGCAGGTGTATTCAGAGAAGTCATTACAGTCCGTCTGAACCTGTATCCGATCATCGATTCAGTAAGAACAAACAGAAAAATATTATATTATACATATAATATAAAGTACACGTGTGTTCATATTATTACTTTCAAACCTGAATGTAAAACTATAAATAAACTATAAATAAACAACAGAAACACCTTGGTGTTTACAGTTGTATCAGTGAACTTGTTTCAATCAGCTGGTTGCAGTTTTGAAGCGAGGCTTGCCTTTGGTTTACATTACATAACAGACAGCACCTTTAAAGAAGCTATAATCAATATTTTTATAATATATAACAACGTATCAATGACAATGTTCAGGAGTTAGTGGTAGTGGTGAAGCTCCAAGAATCATCAGCAGCGTCCCTCATCTTTAAGTGAGTCAGCTCAGTGTTTTGCTGTTTTACTGTTCCGCTTCACTCTCTCTGCTCTCATAGCTTCATCTTCAGCCGCAACATCTGTGTGAACATAGTGGAGCAATTAGCAGCTAAAGAGCCAGATGTTTCCTCAGGAGCTGGTGGGGACCAAACACATGATCAGTCAGTGTGTCTCAAGAAGTTGTTGTTGTTGCAGGTTTAACAAACAAACAACATCTCTCATTTTAAACTGTAATTATGCTGTGGTGTTTTCAAGCTGCCTTATTCTCTCAGACTGAATCTGAATTCAGTCCAGATGTGTGTGTCTGTTCACACGAAGAATGTGAGGAACGTTTCTTTCTGTTCTGTGTTGTTACAGTGCTTCAACTTTCACCCTATGGTTCACCCATCTTGAGACAGTACAGAGCACTGAAAGGAACCGTGGGCCAGTGTTACTGCGTATGTCAGTGCATTTACCAGAAATCACATGGTTTACATTACCAGTGACCACCTCACTGCCTGCTGTGGTCTTGTTTATTATTTACTATTTTCCAGGCAGTAACCTTTGTTCCTGATGATTATAGAATTATAGATGTACTGAAATCTGTACATGCATAGTCTATATTGATGATCTATTATATACTGTTGCATTTGTCTACCATTGCCCACATACAGACACCTCATACTGTCAGTGTCAAGAGCATAGACTGAGGAAAAAAACTGAAATTTTATCCATTCACATAAAAAAAAGTGAAGGGGTCTGAAGACTTTCTGAAGCCACGGTAGAAACACAGAAGACAGGATCACAGAGACTAGGCAGAGACGAGGAGGGAGTATAGAGTATAATCATTATGTAACGTGACCAGGATCATATTTCTGGAAGTCAGCAAACAGCAGGAATGCTATGAAGCAAGAACTCCATTCAGTCAGTGGTCACTAAACTGTGGCTGAGAGCTGACCAGGTTAGCATGGTGTTGTTGGTCCAAACACACACATACTGTACTTGTGTGTGGTTTTTCTGAAACATTGTCCCTGGTACTTTGTATTTTACTGACATAGCTGCCGGTTAAAGAGTTAACACTGAGACAAAGAGATAAATGTGTTCCAGGTGTGTACACGTGGATGAAAATATGAGCCCAGCAGTGACCAGTGAGCTGACTGGTTTCTTCCAGGTCTGTCTGTAAGGAGCCAGACCGACCTGCTGGAGCCAGTGCGCCAGAATACCTCAGAGCAGGCAGAGCCTCCATTAGTGCCTTATTACATCTCCTTTGCTTTGAATCAGGACCCACTGGTAAGATAATCATCACTGGGGTCAGAACAACTCATCCTCATAGATTCTAGACACAGTGAGCAGTTACTGGAATTCATGATGTGTGAAGGCAGACAACTCATGCATCTGACAAAGCGTCTACACCCTTGGTAAACTAGAATTACCACCTTGTGGTTGTCTGCCTCCACCACTCAGACTAGTTTCATATTACAGCCCTGTTTATCCAGAGTCATATAAAATATGAACCATTTGTGTGAAATTTTGTCATAATTGCCGTGTGAAGTCTTTAGTTATGGCTGAAAAGTGTTTTGTGAAGTCACACTGACCTTGACCTTTGACCTTTGACCACCAAAGTCTAACAAGTTCGTCCTTGAGTCCCAGTGAACTTTTGTGCCAAATTTGAAGAAATTCCCTCAAGGTGTTACTGAGATATCGTGTCCACAAGAATGGGACAGACGGACAGACATCCTGAAAACAGCATGACTCCGTCTCTGACTGTCGCCAGCCCGGCGGCAGAGAAAACCCCCCTCACCAACCTCACTCCACCCGTCGACACACTGGTCCTTCCCGACAGAGCAGCAGGACGAGGGCAGTGTTCCGTTCAGCACATCATACCAGTCTGTCTTGTTGGTGACTCCACAGCATTTGAACTGGGAAGAGAGAGAGTAGGGAAACACCACTCAGCTACCTGACTCACGTTCACACCACTGACCAGTCAGAATGAAAACAAGCTGCTGAGGGAGGGCACACACTGACATCACTTTATCAAGCAATCCTTATTGTAGCACTGTGTTTGAAGAGTTTTATTTGTACAATTTCTAATATGTAATGTGAAAAATTCTGCATAAAACACAATGTATTTGCAAACCATTCACTATGAATGATGAACCAAAAGTTCTGTAAGAGTCAACAGTCTACTTGTTTACTTGTCTTAACATTAGCGCGCTAGGCTAACTCGCTGGCGCTATGATAGTTAGCAAGCTTTTTGGTGAGTAATTTTTTTTTGCGAGTAATATTTTTGGTGAAATATACTTTCATTTAATTTTTTTTTTTTTTTACAGTGTACTACATTTCACCTTCTACATTATTAAAATGTTTGATTTGACGCCTGGATTATTCATATGGGAAAACAGAGGGTGAACTTTATCAAAAGAGTAATACCCAAGGAGGATTTGTGCCAAGTTTAGCATTTGTATCCACATTCGAAAGATTTCCCTTAAATATTCAGTTATCTGCTGCACTATTAAAGGTGGAGCAACTTATGACAATCTCCACCTCCAGTCATACCATGTGTATATCCTTTATTCTGCACCTGGCTGTCCTGGAGTCATGCCACACGAGAAACTGTGCACTCACCATTTTCTGGACATTGTCCCAGGATTTCTTCAGTCCAGGTTCTGTCTCATAAATCTTCATGCCTTCCTTTAATTCATCTTGTGCTTTGGAATCCAACTGAAAAATAGAGAGAGAGAGAAGGAAAGATACAGTCATTCATCCACCAGCCTATCCTGACAGGGGGTGGGGATGAGGCAGTGTACACCTGTACAGGTCACAGGGTTTGCACACACAGATTAACCTGCATGTGTTTGGGTTGTGGGAGGGGCTAACCCTAACACCCTGATAACTCATTAACATATAATGACTTTCATATTTATAAGTGGAAACATCCACTACAGTAGGAAGGAACAGTATGAACCCTCTGAATGAATGTTACTGTGATCTGATCTTCATCTTCATTGAACACAGTCATTAAACCTTCACAGCTCTGGTGGAAACAGTCAGTGAACCTCGGATTTAATAACTGGTTGAACCTCCTCTGAAACCAGCTGTTCAGTAGCTGTGGATCAGTGATCAGAGTGATCACACTCCACGGCTAACTCCTTACTCCAGTTAGCAGCTTCTGTTCATGTCCACAGTCGAGGGCTTCACACACCTTTTCACCTGCACTGTGAATGTTTGATCATGTTTTCAATATGGACCAGGACAATGTAATGATTTGAACTGACACAGAAGTAAATTTAATATATGTATATATAGAAATAAATAGAAATTATATATAGAACCTATCAGCAATCGGAACAGTTTCATATATTGACATATATGTCTAGCCTATATAAATATGTATGTTTATGTATATAAGCTTATATTGTAGACATATGTAAATATATATCCATCCCAAAGCCTGTCAGTATATGTTGATATCATATACAGTAGAGTCCAAGAGTCTGAGACCACTTTCCAGGGCAACAGGGCATTTTGGCCTTGTTGATGGCAGAGGTCAGAGGAGAACGGCCAGACTGGTTCGAGCTGATAGAAAGGCAACAGTAACTCAAATAACCAGTCGTTACAACCGAGGTATGCAGAAGAGCATCTCTGAACGCACAACACGTGAAACCTTGAAGCAGATGGGCTACAGCAGCAGAGGACCACACCGGGGGCCACTCCTGTCAGCTGAGAACAGGAAACTGAGGCTACAATCCGCCCCGGCTCACCAAAACTGGACAATAGAAGATTGGAAAAACGGTGCCTGGTCTGATGAGTCTCGATTTCTGCTGCGACATTCGGATGACAGAGTCAGAAATTGGCAAAAACAACATGAAAGCGTGGATGCATCCTGCCTTGTATCTACGGTTCAGGCTGCTGGTGGTGTAATGGTGTGGGGGGATATTTTCTTGGCACATTTTAGGCCCTTTAGTACCAGTTGAGCATTGTGTGAATGCCACAGCCTGCCTGAGTATTGTTGCTGACTATGACATCCCTTCATGACCACAGTGCACCCATCTTCTGATGGCTACTTCCAGCAGGATAACGCGCCATGTCACACAGCTCAAATCATCTCAATCAATGGTTTCTTCAACATGACGATGAGTTCTCTGAACTCAAATGTCCTCCACAGTCACCAGATCTCAATCCAATAAAGCACCTTTGGGATGTGGTGGAACAGGAGATTCGCATCATGGACGTGCAGCCGACAAATCTGCAGCAGTTGTGTGATGCTATCATGTCAATGTGGACCGAAACATCTGAGGAATGTTTCCAGCACCTAGCAAGGTGTAATTTACCTAATCATGTCATATAATACATTTCTGTATGGTGAGAGTCAGTTTTTATGTCTTATTTTCTTATTTATTTTAATCTCACTCTCTTCATTATCTGTTCTGTTTGACTGTTACAGACCGGAGCGAGCGCTGAGGTTAAGGATGTTTCCGTGACATTGGTGTGGACATTGCGATGGAACGTGTGACAATATAAAACCCTGAAGCCTTGAACCTGAACCTTGTAGACCTTAAACTCACCTTGTCGTGAAAGATGTGTATGACCAACACCAGAGTGACCTCTGTCAGGACCAGGAGCAGGAGGATCACAAAGAACTGGGCAGGGCAGAGAAAAGCAGATGGATCATCATTACAAGCTCTGAACATGAACCGCAGCACGTCCACTTCATGTCTGACTACCTTCTCCACCTTCACCTCATCCCCTCACTTCCTGCCAGTTCTCTACTGTTGACCAAAGCCACAAAATGGCCAAAAAAATATTTCCAAAAAATGAAGAATATGTGCAGCTTCTCATCATGTAGACCTCTCACCATGACCAACAGGCAGCGCTGCTCCTTCAGGGCTCCCAGGCAGCCCAGGAAGCCCGTCACCATGGTGATGCCACCAGCCACCAGCAGCAGGTTGGCAGCCGAGAGGGAGGGAAAGGACAGGGGAAGAGAGGAGAACTCTGCCTGTGTGAAGGACAGCCAGACTCCGACGCCGAAGAGACCGCATCCTCCGAGCTGTTCAGGAAGAGTCCCAGCGTAGCGTTAATCACACGTGTACGTCCTGTAATGATGTGTCTGATAGAGATCAATACTGGAGCAGATACTGACCCAGAAGATGAGGTTGAAGACAAACATCAAATATTTGACACAGCACAGACAACTCCGAGACACTGACATCCTGCAACAGAAGAGATTCAACGGTGATTCATGTGGTGGCGGTGGTTAAACAGAGAATGTACAGTGTGTTGAGTTTGTGAGAGGGCTGGTGTGTGGAGATGAGGACTTTATTCAGAATTTGTCCCTGAGCGTTTTACAGTCAGAACAACATCCATGCTGTGCTGGGGTGGAGAGAGTGGAGTCACATGTAGGTTTGTTGGCTGCTGCCAGGATGAACACACACGCTTCACTAACTCGCACTGAACCTGAGGACCTCTCTGCACGGAGGCCTGTAGGTTTTTACGTCTCATGTTAGGAGGTGGTTAGTCCTCCTCCTCTGTGGATGGGAGGGAAATTACACTGACTAACTCTGTCGCTGTATGTGGTCATGTGACTGTTGTTTTAATTTGAATCCAGATTTCATCTCATACAGCAGCTTGAGTTTTCAGCCACTGTGTCATGGTGTCGATGCTGTTTTGATACCACGTAATGAGTGTGTAGGCACGTTAATGTGTGTGGGTGAAGTCTGATTTGTCTCTGACTGAGTGGCCCTCACGCACCACTGACCCCACACAGGAAGTCAAACTGCTGACAGGAAGGAAGCTCCCTCCCCTGCTCACTAGACCTAATTATACTGCTGAAGGCATTTCCCATGACCACAGCAATCCTGTGACTCACAGGAGAACCAAGACCTTATACCAGGGACCAGGATCCAGATCAGAACCAGTGGAGTCTCACCCCTCATCTCTGGTCCATAGAGGCCACTCTTACTGAACGGTGTGACTGACAGCTAGAAACATGACACTCTCATGTTAGAGACAGACTGACTGACAGTTAGCTTACTGTCCAACACTGATCTTATCATGCTACTGATGTGGCGCAAGATTTCAAGTACTGTCAACCAAGGTTCGAACTAGAGGGGCCAGTGGGAGCCAGTGGGAGCCAGTGGGAGCCAGTGGGAGCCATGGAGACGTGGACTCCCCTGAAATTTGTGATTGTGAAACTTGGGGGGTGGGGGTCCTCTAAAAATATCAACAATGTTTTTTTGCCATGTATTTTCTATTTTTTTGTATCTTCATGCATGACAGCAATTTATCACTATTGCACTTTGATAAAGACTCTATCCCTTGTAGGCAGCCTATACACACACACATATATATATACATATCAGATGTGCTGGCATAAAGCAAGTCGACTGTATGCCCTTCAGCTGTGAATGTATCTCTGCAAGAGTCATGTAAGTCCTCCAGGCCATGGTATAGTTCGCACACTACTGTCAACATGAAAATCTAATATGATAGTGAGACCTGCAGTAATTAATGGAACATAAAACAGATGTCATTAGTGTGTTTTAATGAATGGATTTGATTCCTCTGACCCACATATGCCTGTACTGTATCTTTCAGACTGAGGGTGACACAGGATTTATCTTTCATTAGATTTATTGCATTTGAATTACTATAAACAAAAGTAGTGAATTTATGATTCCACTTTTGGATCATTAATCTTTTGTATTTTGCATGTTTACTGCTTCCTCCTCAGTGTTTTAGAACCAGCGTTTGGTTTCCAAGTGTCTGCCCTGATGTTTCAGACAGTTATATTTATTTTTTCTGATGTGTCCACTGTGGTCTATTAGTGTAAACTGAAAATAGACCCAGGATCAGGTGGAGGCGAAGATAATGATGATAAATAATAATTCACAATATGAGTTGACAAAAACAATCTCAGCCCAAGATCTACTTACTCGCTTGTACTGGAGCTTTCTACCATATCACCTGGTCCTCATCAGCAGATTATTTTGCCAATTTCCCATGGTGTTTTAGCAGTGGAGTACTAAGCTCAACCTACACGCAAGTTTTCTGACACATTTGAACATCTCGACTCTTGTAAGGAAAACCTACTTCCTGTTGTCAGTCCAAAGAGAAGTGGTCATCAGAGCTGACAGTGGGTGGCCGGGGCCCTCCATTTATAGACACAACATGAAAACGCCTGAACACACTAGAAACTTTATGCGATGAGATGCATGTTGCAAACAGTGAGTTTGACAGCAGAGTTTCTCTATGCATGACTGTAAATGATGGAAACATTGTGATGAGGTCTGTGTCTGAAAACAGTCGACCTGTCCTGTCAGTCTTTAACCAGGGGACAGCAACAAAAAGCTGAAGAGTCAATCACTGGTTTATAAACTTTACCAACTTTCATTTCAGATGTTATTATTACTATTATTATTTTTTGTTGAGATGCTGCGGCTTCCTCTCACAGTGCAGTCTTCTGCCCTTTAACGCACTGCTGGTACTCATGGCAGTAAAAACTAAAGACACAACCGTGACAGCCTGATGAGATCTGCAGATGGTTGACACAGAGGAGCCATAGCTCATTCTGAATGCATGTAAACTGAGCACCAGCATACACAGTGATTATCAGAATGAGACATGTATTCAGTTAAACAGGCTGAGTCTGTGAGTTACAACTGAACTTTACCTGAGGGAGAGTTCAGGTCTTTCAGATCTGGTCTTTGTCTCGATCCACTTCGTAACTCCTGGATTTGGTCTTAGGTTAGTTTTCCTCCTCAGATCCTCTTTGGACTGGTCCCTGAACCAGCCAGGCCTTTCAAGCAGTTTTTCTTTCTTCTCCTCCTCTGTGTTAAGCTTCACTCGTCAGGTAACTTGTCTTATTCCCAGAATGTAAACCTTATTCTGACTATGTAATTTTACTCTTCGTTTTGTTCCCTTTTGTTAACAGAACTCTCTCTCTCTCTCTCTCTCTCTCTCTCTCTCTCTTCAACTATTTCCAGATGTGTGTGTTGTTGCCCGTCCCTCTCTGTGTTCCTCCCCTTCCTGTCACTTGTCCCTCCTCCAGCCCACAGCCTCTTAAACTTTTTTCTCTTTGTTCCAGAAACCCTGGGTCTCTCTCCCGCTCTCTCTGTCATGCACACACTCACACAGCTGCACACACAGACGTGCACACTTCCTTTCCTGACCTAATGGTGGATTCACTTCACATTACTGCTGACCATTTCCACAGCACACTGTTGTTGTTCAGTTTTAAATGTTTTATTGATTTTTACTCATTTCATTGGAAATATTGACTTATTTCAAATAAAACCTTAAAAGTGAACAAAGTAATTGCTTTTATTATTGTCAATGTTATGTTATGTTATGTTATGTTATGTTATGTTATGTTATGTTATGTTATGTTATGTTATGTTATGTTATTACAATATGTATGGTTTCTTTTGTTGTATTGTTATGCTATGCTTTGTTATGTTAAGTAATGTTATAGATAGATAGATAGATAGATAGATAGATAGATAGATAGATAGATAGATAGATAGATAGATAGATAGATAGATAGATAGATAGATAGATAGCCTTGATGGCAGTGGGAACAAGTCTCCCAGTAACACGCGTGCACTCCTGTCTCCTGGCGCGCGGTAAGTGAAGACTTAACGGCTCATGATGCGATGATGCGACGAGCGCGCGTGAAGCGTGGAGCCAGCATCTTCATTCCATCTCTCTTCACCACAATGCGATCGCGAAATGCTCTTTACCGAAGTCGCAGCATGCGTCCATCAGATCCGAACCGCCGAAATTCTTTACGCTGTACACATAAATGGGTTGTAGTAGTATTTGTTCCTCCATCTTACATTGCATGCATCTCTCCACAACAGTCCTGAGTGAGTCCAGACTCCTGCCAAGCACAGACCCAGCCTTTCTGACCAGCTCGTCCAGTCTCTTTGTGTTCATGTTTGACATGCTGCTGCCACAGCAGACTGCAGCATGAAAGAGTACACTGGCCACCACTGACTGATAAAACATGTGCAGCATTTCACTGCAGACGTCAAAGGACCTGAGCCTCCTGAGGAAAAAGAGCCGGCTCTGCCCCTTCAGGTAGATGGCATCAGTGTTCAGGGACCAGTCCAGTTTACTGTCCAGGTGCACACCTAGGTATTTATTAAGTGTGTACCACCTCGATGTCCTTCCCCCATGTTCTGTCCTGTTCTGTTCTGTTCTGTTCTGTTCTGTTCTGTTCTGTTCTGTTCTGTTCTGTTCTGTTCTGTTCTGTTCTGTTCTGTTCTGTTCTGTTCTGTTATTGGTCACATGTTCCTGAGTCACTATGTTTAGTTAGGCACACTGACCTTTGGTGCACTGACCCCTGTTTAACTGTGATGAAGTGATGAAGCTTGATGATACAACCCCTCCTCCCAAACCACCACAACTACTTACTGCTACACTCTATTTTCTACTTTTGCTCTCTCTATAGGAGACATGAATGAAGGAGTCATAACGCATTCGCATACGTCAATATCAGTTTTGCACTTTTTTAATGAGTTTGTTCATTTTACATCAGGACTTCATCTCTCTGTGACAGTAGACGCTTTTAATGGGATGATAACCATGACAATAAAAGCAAAATACATGATCAGAATCTTCTGCTTCCTTTTCAGCAGTAACATTATTACATGTACAAAACTAAATTCTGAGATTCAGATTCAACATCAAACAAACATTTGTGCACAATGTGTCACACATCATCTGCATTGAGTCAGACTCAGTGTCTTTAGTTCAGCTTATATTAGCTTATATTACACTGTTAGGTCAGTAATGTACTGTCATTGTGTATGTACTGTATCTAAACTCTAATGTGTTTGCATTTATATAAAAACATTCTGTGTAAAACATCTACAGAGCAACTCAACACTTTAGCTTCAATATGCTCACTTCACAAAATACACTGAAATCCAACATCATAACATCTGCCACGGTGGGCCTTTGAATTATGGGTGACGATGTTAAAAAGCTGAATCTGTATATCTGTGGTGGTCAGGAGAATGACGAGGGCTGGTTTCTGTTTTTACATGTTTTCATAGAGGGGCGTGGCCTAAACTGGGTGACATCACTGAAAAGATTTCCATATGTCTTTGGGTGTGAAGGACATAGTCGCTGAATTTCATTGACAGAAAGGCAAAGAAATGTCGTTGCAATGGACACAACAAGTAACTGTACATATGATTTATTAACTACACACATTAATCATAAGGTCTAAGTAAGCTGGATGAGAGTGTCAGTAACAGTATTCATGTTTCTCTTGTTCATGGTTTGTCCCTCAGCAGAAACTGGGTGGAGATTTTCTTTGTGTCCGGTCAAACCCTTGTACAGAGCAGGTACAGCGTGAGTCAGTACTAAGACCTGTGTCTCTACTCGCTGGACGTGTCCGTCTCTGTTTGTGGGCTGAAGGAGTACTCGGCTTTGTGATGCATGATCAGCTTGTTGTTGACAAAGTAAAAACTATCCGAGCGTGTCTCAAACGGGTTGGCGATCATCTCCTCCACTGGACACAGCAAGAGAGAGAGAAGGTCGGCAGGAGGTCGTTGTGGTAAGATGGAAGACACAATACTGATTCTACACTAAAACAGCTGCACTTTAATACACAAGCTGTGTCCCAATTCAGGGGTCTCATCCTTCAGTGGCTGCATCTGCATCACAGCGGCATGACTAGACTGTCCCATTTCAAAGGCTCCTTCAAATGGCCCGAGGAATGCGTCCTCCTTTTCCTGGGCCAAGACGGATCCAATGGGTGGATCCTTCATGGCTCAACCTATCCCAAGATTCATTGCACAATGGTAATGAAAGCAAACGACACTGACAGAGAGCCTGAGGATTACATTGTTAAATGTAAGTATTGGTTTTCAGCTCAGTTCAACAGCTAACTGTACAACTGTTAAAACCATTGGCCCTAAAACCTCAAGTTTTTGTGAAAAAAAAGTTACATGGTGTCAAGGTTGCTAGGCAACAGGAGCCCCGCTTTGCGACGCAACGGTAATGGCAGGAGCAGCTGGTGACGCACAGAGGAAATCCTCAGTAGACCAGACCGTTACGGTCGATCGCTTTGGCCTTCACAGTCTACCGTGGTTATTAAAGACCACACTTTTGTAGACCACGTCCTCTGAAGGATGCGGCCCCTGAATTGAGACACAGCAACAGTTTTTATCATCATTCAGACAATGGAACATCATGAGGCCTTTATTCTGACAATCACTAGTTCCACTTCCTGTCAGTACTTACATTGATATATATGATTATCATATGATTTTAAGATTTTGGTGCTTTTAACATCATTTCTCTGTTGAGGGGGTGAGAACAAACTAAAAATGAATAATGTTGGTTTCCCCCTCCCATCACCATTAATACTTCTAGAGAGCGCTGCTTTGCATATAAACAAGGTTTTCATGTTTACCTGCATTATGGTGGAAATGGTTTGTGTGTGTCTGTTAGTGTAGTAGTGTGAGTCATACCTGTGTCTGGATCCAGGTCAGGTAAGCAGTAGATGTGCTCACAGGTGTTCCTGCTGTGTGGGATGCAGAAGCCGATCTCAAAGTCAAAGGTCTTGAGCAGGAGGTTTCTGAAGAAGTGTCTCTCGATCAGACGGAAGCGGTTCAGAGCCCTGCTGCCCACTGTGAACTCCAACCTGAGAGACAGGCAACCGGCCAATCAGCTCTGAGTAACAACACCTGCACTGGGTTCAAACATGCTTCACAGTCATAACAACTAATGTTAATCATGTGTGCCACAGTGACTTTGAATAAATTTTAGGTTGAAGCAGGAGTGAAGATTTCCTCCTGCAGCTCAGTCTTCTAGAAATCACGTTTCTATACAACAGCAAATCAGTTTTATATGAAATATAATCTCAGAGACCAGGTTCACATCCAGAGACCAGGTTAACATCCAGAGACCAGGTTCACATCCAGAGGCCTGTCTGTCAACAGCTGTCAACAAAAGCTCTTTGATTAAGGTCAGTGAAAGATGGAGGTTTGGGTTGAATGTAAATAAACAGGTTGTGAACCTTTTCTGTATTAAATCAAACCAGGATCTTTAACCTGAACCAGCAGCTGTGAGAGTCTGAACAGAACCATAACCCAGTTTGTCAGTTTCTGACAGTTTCTATTACATCAGTACTCAGTTATATTACTCAATAACAACTCAGTAGTTATTACTATATTGTTGCATGAGTACTTATTACATGTGTACTAAACTTTGATTTTTGTGTCAGAAGACCTGAAGTAAGAGCTAAAATGTAAATGTAAGTAGTTGCTGTGGATATGTCTCTGGATCAGGTAACATGTGTGGTGTGTACAAACCGGTCTCACAACAGTTTTTGTTCAGGTAAACAAGAGGTTCGAATCTATTGATTTTGTGTACATCAACACAAATTGTCTGGTTTTATCCAGACAGTCGGCACAACTTAGTTTGTGGAAATATAAATATATTTAATGTTAGAATTCCTGTTCATTTTTAGTGACACAAAAATATCAAATTTGCTCATTTGAGTGAGTACAGCCTGATTCAACTTTTTCCTGGTAATGTTTAGGCACTGACAGGTGCATTACATCATAACGTAATATCAGGTTAGGGAAAGGTAGTGTTCACACTGACTTCAGACGCAACATGTTTATGTATATTTAACATATAATATTTAACATACGTTTCCATTTCATGTTGATTGACATGGACAACATGGACAATTCATGTTCAGGTAAAGAAAATCAATAGATTAAATTAGATGAGTCTGTTTCTTCTTGAGATTTTCCATCACCAACAACATCTGGGGATGTAAAGGATGGTTCCTGCATTCACACGGTCAGTCACAGCAGTTCATCCAACAGAATAAAATATGTTGGACTTACGTGGCTCCTATCTCCCTGAGGGTCAGGAAGGCAGGGGAGAAGTAGTACCTGATGAATCTGCTTGTATCAAGTTCAATGACATCTTGAATTTCTGGAGAAAAGAAAAAGAAAAAGAAGAAAAGAGGCAATGACAAAGATGATTATGACCATGATGCTCCATGTAAGCTGTCATACAAGCATTGTAGAGTTCGTAGTCCTGCAACATTCAGCAGCTGTCTTACGTCTACACAGAACTGCTACTGGTTCCCACTGAGCTTCAGTGTTGAGTTTGCGCTGTAGATAAAGATGGCTGAAGTCATGTTTGAACCCTCCTGCAGCAACAGACCCACACTGACTCCGCTCTCCGTGAATATCACACAAAACACTGCAGAACAACATTAAAACATTACAGGAACCATTGATGAACCATCTACTGAGGAGAGGTCAGAGGTCACACATCATGAGAACAGGCTCATCTCTGACAGTGACAACAGCTAGAGATTCGCTGTCCAAGGAAGCCAAACTTCTACTGTACCTACTTGGCTCCACAGCAGTAAACATTACTGTACTACTGACTGACAAAACCATCGACCACCCATGCTGTGACAGAAACATCTCCATGCAGGTACATTTCCATCACAGTTTATGAATATTTATAATCCCCAGAGGACGATTTCTAATGATGACTCTCTGACCTTTGCTTTAACAGATCTGTTCCATGAGAAATGATCTTCAATGCTAGTGACTGGATTTTGATGAATATTGTAATTAATATTTATTGTCCCAGGAGAATTAATCACAGTGTATTTTGTGAACCTCTGACCTTATGTGTATCAACACCTACTGAATGAAATATGAACATTTTACACAAGATATTGTTCCTCGTAATCAGTGTATGAGTTGTCATCAGCTCTTTTTACTTAAAGGCTAGAGTCACACGTTGTCCAGTCCATGTGGAAACAATACTCACATTGTCCTGTGTAAAGATGGATGTTAAAGTTCAGCCTCAGATAATATGACATTCCAGTGAATAGAGCTAATCAGGTTGTTATCCGAGTATCACAGACTTTAGCAGCCTCTGTTGTTCACACCTGGGCTGTAATGACTAATGCAGCCACTAGGGGTCACTATCAGAGCTTCTTTCTACATTCTCCATTTGCACAAATGTGAGAAGAAAAAGATGAAAACTACCTGTTGGACGGTGTTTCTTGATGTCCAGGATGACTGCTCCACTGCTCAGGTCCCTGATCTTGAAGCGGGAGAAGTTCACGTTGTAGATGTTGTCCTCTGGAGAACACAGGTACTCTGCCACACATCCAACCAACAACAGCTGAAAATTCACCTCTTCACAATTGATGTATACTTTATATTGCATTGAATTAAAGAAACTGCACAGGTGAGATTATCTTCTAGTATCCCATAATTCACAGTAATGATGATAATGTAAATGTGAATGTGAATGTAAATGAATAATGTAAATGTAAATGTAAATGTATATGTATATGTATATGTATATGTATATGTAAAATGTGAATGTGAATGTGAATGTGAATGTGAATGTGAATGTAACGTGAATGTTAATGTGAATATAAGGATACTGAGAGAAGAAGAAGAGCAGGCTGTTGTTACCTTGAGTATGGTTAAATACAGAGGAAGAACACCTGATGTCAGAGATGATTCACCCTGACAGAGAATCCCACAACACAAAAAACCACTAGTTTTATGAGGACAAGTGTCAAGAATGAAACATAGAACGCATCACAAACACACCACTGAGACCGCTTGACTTTGAAATGAGCTTGTGGACGACATGGCTACAGGATCAGGAGATCTGAACGGTTTCTGCTAACAAAGGTCTCTCCTGTGGTCAAGTCCTCTTCAGGTGTTGTACCATTCTGTGCAGTGGTGGTTCTAGGGTCAGTGGAGACTTGTGGCTCAGCTTTGAATTATGATCAATACAATACAATACCACCAGCACCATTAAAAAAAAAACCCACCACAGCACACATTAGAATGAATTAAAAAACACAACAAAAATTCTAGTTCAGAATAAACACTCAAGCCAGTGTTTGAAATCAGAGCTAATGAGTAAATGTTCATCATTAGCTGCCACTGAAGGAGTTAACTGGGTGAGGTAACATCAAGTACACAGGGTTAGTGCAGATTTCAAGACTTTAGCCATGTCTGAAACACATTTCTTACATCTAAGACAGAAACCCTGAAGTTCTTGAACTCATCATGAGCTGTCACAGACTCTACAACAGTTTTCAACATGCTGGATTTTCTCCTGCCATTCATTTGCCCAGGTTGGAAAAGACCCCAGATAAGAGGTCAGAACGGTCATTTCATTCAAAAGAAAAACCTATGTTGGCCTACAGAGCCACAGCCCTGACCCACAGGAGCTCAGCAGCACAGCTGACACCTGTCCTGATTTCCCTACCCACCTCCAAACACAGAGACAAGATCTTAAAGCTTTCAGGGAGCAGGAAACACCAGGAGAAAGGTTTGCACTGTCAAATGTAACTGTACCAAAACTCTGTCCTCACTTCACTGAGGACGACACAGAGGGCCCGTATACTCATATGATGTAGACACACCAGGGAGACAGCTCCTGGTCACACCTGAGGCACACCTGAGAGAGAGGCCAGAGCCTGCTGTATCCCCTAACACAAGTGACAAGGTCAGAGAGTCCAGTCCAGACAGACTGAGCATGTGAGAAGGAAACAGACTGTGATAACAACGAGAGAAAACCTTTGTAATAGTAAAAAGATGATTCATGTGTTTAACTTGGTAGATATGTTACATATAAGCTACGGTGAGTTCATGTTAGTAGCAACAGGGTCATACGTTAGTGTTGTGGCTCTTCACTGGTGAGAGGTTTCAAACAGCCAGAGTTTACAGTCTATATCTATGAATCTATAATTGTGTTAAAACAGCAAACCTATCAGTGAACAGGGAGAGCAGCTCTCCACTGTTTTGGGCTTTATGTCAGTGTCCAGACCAAAAGCAGCTAAAGGACTCTGAGACTGAGAGAAACCAGATTCTCTGGTCTGATGAGATCAGGACTGAACTGTTTCCTCCAGACATGATGCTGAGAGCTGATCATCCTTCTGGAAGTTTCTCCATCTCCACACAGGAGCTCTGGAGCTCAGAGAGATCATCAGGTTCTTGGTCTCCTCTCTTCTCCCTGATGTCTCAGTTAGTCCAGGTCCAGCTCTAGAGGAGTCCTGTTGGTTCCAGACTTCTTCATGTCAGAATGAGGGAGACCGCTGTTCTTCTGAGGAACCTTCAGTGCAGCAGAAATGTTTCTGAGCCTGGACACAGTCCTGTCTCTGAGCTCTGCAGCAGCTCCTTCCTCCTCAGGGTTTCTGCTCTGATCTGTTTGTCAGCTGTGAGGCCTGATATAGACAGGTGTGTGTCTTTTACACATCATGTCCAATCAGCTGAGTTCACCACAGGTGGACTCCAGTCAAGGTGGAGAAACATCTCAGAGATGATGCAGAGAAATGGAGGAACCTGAGCTACATTAACAGAGTCACAGTAAAGTGTCTGAATACTTATGTCAATGTGATATTTCAGTTTTTTCTTTTTAATACATTTGCAAAAAAAAATCTAAAATTCAGTTTTCACTTTGTCATTATTGGGTTTGTGTGGGTTTGTTCTTATATCTATCTATCTGATGTTTCACACGCTGAGAAATGTGTCATGAGGAACTGGTTGTATAAAGCTGACTCACCCTTAGTGTAACTGTTCAGCCATAAGACATGTTGCGGGGTTACTGGTTCACCTGGTGTCCATTCATCCACCACCTCCCCTTCCTCTGCTTCACCCAGTGCGGCCCCCCCTGAAATAAACCCGTTCCAATCCTCCATGCCTCCATCGACCACCATATCTTCATCCGTCTCCCCTCCCTCCTCCTGCTGCTCTTCACTTTCCCCATTCTGTATCTGGCACTCCTCGCCATTTCCTGTCGTGGTTTCTTCCTGGCTCTCCATCTGGCATTACCAACTCCTGCTTCTGTCAGGCAAATATTCTGATTGAATCAGGCTCAATTTGTTAAAAGTGTCTGTTTGCAAAGTGTGGGACTGCGACTGCAGAGGATATAATCCACAGATCAGCTCTTACACTGAGGCGGCTGGTGTCTAAACTGATTATGTCAGTCTGGATTTGGCAATCTGAGTCAATCCCTCATTAAACATGGACACAGGCCATGGCAGCAGCTGATGGCCGAAGAGCCATGAGCACATGCGAGACACTTTGTCAATGTGCACTTTTCTACTCTGCTCCATAATAACAATCATTAGAGTGTGACGAAAATGAAACAATGCACAAACAGTCTGACAAAACACATCTACACAATCATTTTTAAATGTCTTATTTCTACCTTTATTTTGAATAGAGTGGAAACCATTTATACTGATCACGTCTGTGTGGGCCAGGCTACATCTGCTCAGTTTTCTACATTTACATTGGTCAGCAGATATTTAAGTGAATGTAATTAATCACCACATGAGGGACCTCTGTGGTCATCTATGGAATCACAATCAGGTCTTCCTGTCCCTCTGGTTTCCCTGCTTTCCCTGTGAATCTGAACACTCATAATCTAAATCCTGTGGATCACAACTCTCACAAACAACTGGCTTCTCTCCACTGACCTTAAACCACTTTTTTTGCACCCTCCCACTGTGATCTGGCTTATAAATGTTTGATGATGCCTAATTTGGACTTTGGAGTTGATGGACTCACCATCTATGGTATCTGGACCACCTGTGTTTGAATACAGTGATGGATGGATCTCTGTATCCTGCCTGATGGACAATGTGGGTTATTTATAATGTCCAGGGTCTTCTGATTGTATCAAAGACTACTCAGGGTTTTTTTTTCTTTGTTGGTTCCTGCTTTTTTAATTTTTTTTGTTACAAATTATGAATGAGGCTGTTGTCACTTGACTGATATTCAGCAAACTTATGACTGATGTTGGCAGAGTCTGGTCTTGTCCTGTACCAGACCATTTTGTGTACGGTAGATGAATAAGTCTGACCCAGTTGGAACAATACTTTGCAGTTCTTTTTGATTTTGTGCATTTGTTTGTTTTTAATGTCTCCTATCACTGCAGCACATCTTTTAAAATGGTGTTCTAAGTCACCTTCCTGATTTTATGCAGTCTTGATATGACTTATTCAAATATTTCTATTTTCATTCAATTTTTTTCTATTGTTTTTAAATGCTATACTAATGTAATCTTAATGTTCTATTGTTAATGTATTTCCATGGCTCTGTAAAGCTCTTTGAACTGCCTCGTGTCCGAATGGTGCTATATAAATAAACTGACCGTGCCTTTCTGAATGTGAGAGTTTATGAAATGTGAACAGGATTTGAGAGGCTGCAATGCTGCATTTGAGAAAGTTTCATTTTTATTTGTCTTTGCATGAGAAAAAAAAATCTACAAGCTCACAACTCTTTACACAGTTTTCCCTGAAAAAACTTCTACAAAGACAAACTCCTTTGAAGAGGCGCTCAGGTGTTTTGCTACGAAAATACCATAAACAACATAAATGCTGCTCACTGACAAAATGTCGTTCACATTTTTTGTCTTCACTTTTCCTCTCGCCCTCCCTCACATACTTGCCTCTCTCTGATTCTTGAATATATCATGGAATCAAGTGTTTCTTCTACACTAGGTTGATCTCAGGTCAGTACGTGACAGCTCACACAGTCTAGGCTGGCCATTCTTACTGTTGTAACATGTCCATTGAAAACAATGTGAATGTGAATTATGCATGCATGTCATATGATGCAGCATCCGCTCTAACAGTATCTCTCTGTTGCTTTATAGAATGTAGAAGGAAAAAAATCAGTGCACTACAAACAACTGGTGGAAGCAGACTGTTGTAATCTGTTTCTATTCCATCTGTCTGTCCTTCCTCCACTCTGGCATCAACTCCACGTCCTCCTCTTCATCTTCTTCTTCTTCCAGTGTGGAGCCCCTCATCTGGCCCCAGAGTGGAGCCAGTCTCCCCTCTGCTGTCACACCCATCGGCTGGATGATCTGGTCTCTGGACGGGCCGCAGGGAGACACAGTCGCAATTAGTTTCTCTCTCAGCCTCCAAACACCATTTGTCCCACATTGTAAACACCATAACTCCACACTCACTGTGACAGTCTGTTGATCATGCTGATGAGGCGCAAAGCCTCCTCTTCTTTCTCCTCCTCTGTCATGCCCTCCATTGGATCCGGCTGCTCCGCCTCCACCCGTCCAGTCACCAGGTTAATCCTGGCTCTGGCCTCCCGGTACTCCTCTGTGTCCGAGTCCGAGTCGCTGGAGTACTGGGGGGCGTACAAGCTGGCGCCCGAGTTCCTTCTGCCGTTCAGCAGCCCCCGAGCTGCCAGCAGCCCCGCAGCGTTGCCATAACCCGTGTATTTGACAAAGCGGCTGACTGTGAGGGGACACAACATGCAAACTTCACTGCTGGGTTCTCTTTACGTGTGAAGTCGTTCACAGTCATTCACTTAACTTTTCCTTAAAGCTGTTTCACAGTGATTCAGTACGGTGGCCCTGAGAGCTCAACATGCCGCAACTTAACCATACACATGCACATGCAAATAAACAAAACACCAGAAAACATCTTCATCAGTTTGACAACATGTGCTGCAAACATTCCATACATTCCTCTGCACTTGTTGTTCAATGCTTGTAACTTCAAAAGTTACAAAGCACATGTGTTGTCAAATTGATGGAGGTGTTTTTTCTGTGTTTTGTCTATATGCGTGTGTTTTCTTAAGTTGCAGTGCGTTGAGCTCTCTGGGCCACCATAAGAGCTTCCATCAGAGTGGCTTTAACTACAGTCTGACCCATCACTGTCAATAGGCCAAGATAAGACTATGAATGAGTCCAGTTAGTATAGATCTGCATTGCAGATAGTATTTTATTCGGTTTTATTAAAACAACCTCTAGAATCAGATCAGCGGTCTGTGAGACACATATCTGAAAACTGTACAGTCATAGTTGTCACAGTCTATATGCATTTCTTTGTTAATTCTTGTGTCTCCATCATTTTTCCTCAGTATCTGTCAAACACAGGGGCTCTGTCGTGGGAGTAAATGAGTCTGTCGTGAACAGTGAGTGTACCGTCCTCCTTGCAGAGCACAAACAGCAGCTCAGCAGCGCAGTCCTTCAGGTCTGTGTCGACGTGGGTCATGAGGCGGACCAGCTGGCCTCTCAGTGTGGTGTCCTGCTCAGGTCGGATGGCTACGTCCCTCAGTGGAGGTAAGATCTGAGGTCAGAGACAAGAGTCACTCTGATGTTAAGGTTTTCAGTTTTTCTTGTACCACAAGGCCACAAACATGATGATATCCAGGAATGAGTATGACAGTACAGATTGGACCGGAACTGATCTCGGACTCAAATCCAGTTTCCTTTACCACACCTGGGCTCAGAGGGTCAGCTCAGTCAAGTATCTGGATTTTGCTCAGCAGCGTTCAACTGAAGTGAACTGTAGCTGCAGACTGAAGGAGATGCTGTCCTGATGCTGTTGTCATCTCAAAATATAAATAAATAATGCTCAAAATATTTGATGGAAGTTTACATGACGACATTTGAAAAGAACAAGTTACCCTCTGTCGTAAGTAGTGACGCGTCTCTCTGTGAACCCGTGAGCTCTCGGTCAGCAGGTTCAGAACAGGGGTCAGTTTCTCCTTCAGCTTCTGACTCTGTGGAGGAGCACATTAACATACATGACTGTTTTCTCCAGTTTGACTTTGACTTCAGGAGGATTTGATTTTTTCATACCATAGAAAAGGTGATGGGCGTTCATGTGTTGTCAGACTGATGAAGGTGTTTTTCTGAATGACTTTGTGTTTTGCCTGTTTGCGCGTGTTATCTCAGGTTGCAGTGTGTTGAGCTCTCAGGGCCACCATAAGCAAGACTGTTTAAACAGAATCTACAAGACGACACCTTCAGTGTGTAACCAGCTGATGAATGACTGATAAAATACACAATGACTATAACTAGTGAACAGAGTGAAACGTTTCCCTGTGGTTTTAAAAGTATTAAATCACTGAGGATACATCTCTCTCTTTCTTTAGACCTGCAGCTGTTTTTAATAACATGATGAAGATGTGAATAAAAGCTACAGCAGCTGCAGTAACAGTCAGGTGTAAATGACAGAATAGAGAATAGAAAACTGCTGTGTGCAGATGCATGATGGGACTTTTACTGACTGACTTCGTGTGAGAGCTCTGTTCGTCTTCTGCCTCTACACCCTGATCTCTCTGATGTCAGGGGCTCATCTGATGAAGTCAGGACGTGAATCGGATCCAACCACCTGCATGCTTTATCTTTATACTTATTCATATGACAACTGACTGACTTACTACTTCAGTATGTAGCTATAGCAGCTGTGATAAAGTAAGTGAGTCCAGTTTCTGTCCATATGGTCGTCACAGACAAATGAGCGTGGACACGCTGAGAGAGCCCAGATTCTCCAGGAGGAGAGAGTCAGAGATAAATTCAGATCTTAATTCACAGGCTTCAATAAAATAGTAGTTGCCTGTTTATCAGTGAGAATTTTATTATGTGTTCTAATGAAGTAATGTCATTTAATTATTTTGGTATCAAACAAAGGAAGCTGCTGTAGTTTTTACATCTTATTCTGTGAAAAGCCTATTTATTCACAATATCACTGCATACTTGTATTTATGTCTAATTAGTCTAATTCAATTTTTAAAATGCTGTAACGGTGTAACTATTTTAGTTAATAGATATTTTGGTGCAGGTGTTGAGTATAAATCATTCAGGTGATGACACCAGGTATCACAACACACATGTGTGTTTACTTCAACACTTGCCCTGTTCAGGCGTCTGTCCATGAACAGCAGCAGGGTGTGGACACAGTCCATGTTGACCCCCTCACACCTGTGGGACGCCTGGTCCACACGCACAGATATCAGGACGTCCAGACAGGTGAGCGGCAGAGCTGACAGGATGTTTACTGTGTGTCTGTGGAGAGAAACGTGAACACATCATCTGTACTGTCAGGCTGAATACTCATCTACTCTATGGGCTGGTCTGGGAACAGTTACA